CTTTCATCCACAGTGTCTTCCAGCCCCGACATCTCTGGTCACTATGGTAACTCAGGGGGTCTCTAAGGATCAGTAAATCTTGACTCTCAGGGTTGGAGAGATGACCCAGTGCTTAAGAGCACTGGCTGCTTTTCCAAAGGACCTGGGTTCAATTCCTAGCACCCCACATGGCAGCTCACAGCTGTCTGCGACTCCTGTTCCAGGAAATCCGACACCCTCACACAGACACATATGCAAGCAAAACATCAATGAACATAAAATACAAATAAATAATTTAAAAAAATTTTTAAAACCTTGACTCTTTCCAAAGACATTCTTGGGTCTCAGGAGCCCTGAAGGAACTGGCAGAGACTGCGACACAGAGGGAGGAAATGGGGTAGGCTGAGGCCTCCAGGCTGTTTTCCCTTCCTCCCCAGAGTGCTCTGTTACCTTGGCCTGTTTGTTGATTGAACAAATGAAATGCATGTATTAATATTCAGACCCTCACTCCGGGGAATGAGGCAGTCCACTTGAGCAAAATCGTGAGATGATTGAAACGCCATCAGTTCACATTAACACCTCTTAAACACTGGGAGACACATCTACTCAGCAGATGATGCTTGTGTGTCAATCACAGGCTCAACACAGTCTCAGAGAGTGACTTTCTGGAGTGACAATTGTGTCAACACAATCTCAGAAAGTGACTTTCTGGGGGAGACATCCTCCACGAGAACCTGGTCTTACTCTGGAGAGGAGTGGCCAATGTCAGTGAGAAGCCTGTCTCCGGTACCTCCCCAGGTACCCTGCCTTAACCAAGCAAGCTCAGGCACACAGCTGCAGACCCTGCCTGGGGCAGGTGGCCTCTGAGCAGCCCATCCATAGCCCATCCCTCTGGGCTGTCACAGCAGCCATCTCTTAATTAGCAAAATAAATAGCACAATGATAAATGTCATAATTTACTCAACACATGATCAAAATCATTGCTTTTGCAGACCTCAGGGCAATAAAATGCAATCGCGGGGTGATTTATTCCCACCGGCAGGGTGAGTGCAAGGCTTCGTGTCAGTAAGCAGGGCATGACATGAGGGGGGGGGTGGCCAGATGGAGGAGCCTGGGAATAGGGACAGAGCCCATAGGGATGTCCAGGCTTTGAAACCACACCCACATACAGACCCATGAGCCAGGCTCAGGGCATCTGAGATGTTCCTTTCCAAAAATTATCAAGAGTCATAACCCGGTGGTCCCAAAACATTCAGGGAAGGGGGTTTTGGAGTCACTGAAGATCTCCAGTATATAAGAGAGGAATGGGCCTATTCTGGACAAGAGATGGGCTTCGAGATCCACATGAACACAGAAAGGGGCAGGCTCAGCTGCTGCACCCCTAGCTCTGCTCTGTCAAAGGGGAGTCTACCTGGGGTGGGAGTGCCCCGCCGCCAAGTCAAAGGTCATCGCATGTCACTGTCTGACCCCTGTGGGGGAAAAGAAGAACTTTTTCCTCCCTAGTCACCCCCGAAACCTCACAACAGCCAGGCCTCCATACTCATCTTTTCACCTGGAGCAAGAACTTTGCTCTCAGAGAGGATAAAGTACGCCCACAGCATCCCAAGTGGCGATACAGACACTAAGTCCGACCTTCATTTCAAACTGGCCACCGGAAGACCACAGTGTCATCCCCCCCCCCACCCCCCCGTAGGCCTCTCCCAAGCTCTGGAGTGCAGACTGGCCACAGACCGGTGCAGTCCACGCCTAGGCCACTCCTCGGGGAAGCCAAACCAGAACGGGCCTTCCTTAGCTTTCATCTGTCATCTTTGCTAAAATGTCACCGCTTGCTCTCTGGCAGCGAACGCGCTAATGGTCGCAAAATTCAATTACTCTGACTCACAGAGCCTAATTATGAGGGTGAGAGTGAGTAATTATGTATGCAATCTGGGGCCATTCTGAGGGGGCCACACCCATGCACGCCTCACACTGCCCTGAGCCCGACTGGGGCTCCCAGCCGTCAACATGCTTACACGTTACCACTTTCTGGTAGGCCCTGCCTCCCTCTGCACTCGCAGAGGTTCAGAGGGCTGGTGGTCAGGCCACCTGGTATAAGTAGCTGGGGGTGGTTAACAGAAGGCCCCTTTCCCTGAACTCAGGAGAGACCCGAGCCCCGGGGTTCTGGGTTTTCTTTCCGTCCTGAACCATGATCAGGAGAAAAGGCAGGTAAGTTAGGAAAGTCCTGGGCAAGTAAGGAAAAGCTAGGAGGGTCACCAGAACTCACTGACTTCGCCCAGCTACATTTGGACTTTCGAGGAAGACAAAGAGGCAGTAAAAGGGACAAGAAAAAAAAGTACAGTTCACACATGGGAAAACAGAGCAAAGTTAGGAGGAGGAGAAGAGGTCTCAGTGCTTTCCCCAGGCCCGGTGGCCCCAACCTGTGGGGCTGAGCAGAACCCACTTCTGACCTAATCCTTGACCCCAGGCAGCCTCCTCCCCAGGGGCTTCCTCTTTCCTCCCCGGAGAGCACCAGCTACCACTCCAGTCCTGCCAGCGGCTCCAAGAATCCAACTGCTGGCCAGCCACCGTGGAAGGACACAAAGCCCAGAAAAGGTTTACAGAAGCAGGCGACGGCTGCCTGAACCCACAAAGAAAACAAGGTTAGATGGACCAATGCTAGGTGCGTCTAAGACACTGTTTCAGGGCAATGCTAGGGCCAGCCATTCCTAAGCACCTTCACAAAAGTCTTGCTGTCAGGTCACCACCAAGGGACAAAGCTCTTCATAGTAGAAGTGTGGGGTTGGGGGAGCAACTCACTCTCAAGTACCTACACAGGGAGAGTAAACAAAAATGCTGCAAAAGTCAACAAGCCCCGAGGAGTGATAGCGCAGCCTGTACCAGGCCTGGCACCCAAGCACCCAGGGAGCCGCTGTGATACGGGGCATTTCTTTAAAAACCGAAATCAAACAGAAACTTGTATCAGCGGCGGAGCAGACAAGAACAAAGTCACTCCAAGGTCATCCAAAAGAACTACCTATTACCAAGGTTTGTTTACCCTCCAAGCATCTAAAAGCTAGCCTACTGATTAAATAGCGAAGATCTTTTAAGTGCGTTAAGCAAATACCCTTCAACCGTCTCCGGCACACCAGCAGGGAAGGGTGGAGAGGCCCTCCACAAAGCCAAATCCAACTGAGCCCAAAGTACTCAACTGCCATGTTGTGTAAAAACACTCTCCTTGGGCTGCAGAGCACAGTGTGTGCCCAGGAGAAGGACTGGATTCCATCCTCCCCTCTCCTGCCTCACCTTGTTTCCTGGCCCGGCCAGTCAGGTTCAAAGATGATCTCAACCTTGGTCCCCATCCCCTGCATGTGTTTACCTCTGATGGTTGAAGACACGACAGACAAAGCTACTGTTTTCCACGGTGCTGGACTGCTGTGAAGCCCAACCCACCCACCTCCTCATCCGTTTGGTCAACACGGCTTCTCGCCTGTACCCCTCCGAGCTCTCTGAAGAACAAGTAAGGGTGGCTGGCACTCAGATAAGAGCCCCAGCGCCCCTGACGACAAACTAAACAAGACCCTATGATACGAGGGAAACCTCATTCCGCCTGCCTTCTGAGACACCCAGAGCTTCAGGCGCTCGACCTCAGTTTCACAGGGCACGTGAACAGCGTGTGAATGTGACATAGCTACCACGGGCAGAGACATCAACTCCCCTGGCTCTCAGTGCTGTCCCCCCAAAGAGGCTTTACACGTGACAGGACCAAGGGAAATCCTTGGTGCTTGTTGGAGCATCCAGAGTTTCCCAGGGTCTGGAAGAGAAAACTATCTGCAAGAGGACAATTCATCCGTTTCTAGGCAGCTGGGGAGTCTTTGGTGAGCACGGTCTGGAGATTCCTAAACGGCCAGGGGAGAACGCCAGGCCTTAAGTCTTTCCTTACTCTACAAAGAAAACCCAACACCCACATCTGCTTGAAGACTTTCTTAAGGTTGTCAAGGGGCCGGGGGAGGCAGACAGACCGGAGATGGACCCTTGTCCCACCTGACGGCCACCCCCAGCCCCACGGTGAGGGAGCCACTGCGGGGCTAGCAGATGCTCTCCCTCCCCTGGACTGTTTGCCCTTCCTGGCACTGACCTCCACACAGGCACTTGTGGAGGTTGTGAAACACCAAAAAGAATCTGGATTTGCATTCCTGCCTTCCACCCAGGCAGGCTTCCTGCCAAAACTACCACTGGAAACCAGCCCTGTGGGCCGCAGGAAGGCCGGGGCCTACAGGAAAACGTGCTTTTGTGGCATTCTTACTCTCCACGAGGCCACCTTGATAAGACCCCTCAAAGCAGGGCTCATTGTGCCCCCCCACAGCCTGAGCGGACACCTCTGGATACTTCTGGTTCGGAGCTATCCCCGGCACACCTAGATTCCAGCACTCTCTTCCCCTAACGCACCATCCTTCCCAACCTGCCTGCACAGGTTAACTCACGTGAGCTCCAGCCCGCAAAGGCGCGTGAGGATACGATAAGGAAGTTTAAATAGGCAAGGCTTCTGCTCCCAAATCTGAGAATAGACTCCCCATTAAGGCTGGTCAGGAGCCTTCCCAATGGGTTACAGTTGGTGGGGTCTGCGTGGCCACAAGGCCTTCTTTGTAAGCTGCCTCAACCTGATGGAGACAGAGTGGGTTTCTCAGCATTAAGAGGCTTCTTCTGGAACACTCGACCATCCCGCAATGAGGGTAGGTGAGCACCTCTATCCAGTAGGAGGCACGAGACGTTTTAAAACACGAACTCATAAAAGACACATTTCCAGGAAAAGGGTGCCTCAGCCGTCGGGGCTGATGGGTGTCCGAGGGGACCACAATGTTTTCTGAGTCACGTCATGCGAGCTGCTGGATAAAATAACCCTGGGAAATGTGACATTCGAACGCTCTCTCTCTCTCCAACAGACCGAGCCTCCTGCCTGGGGCAGTGGCTGCACCGGCTTTATAAATAGATTGAACACAAGATAAATGGCCACGATCAATCATGCTCAGAGTGAGCATACTTACCTCCCATCCAAAGTCAGCCTCCTTCAGTGCGGCCCGGGGCGCCACCACATAGGGGCCAAGCCTCTCCCCAATTTCCATCTTCCGCTTGGCCCAGATCCCCAGACCAGCTCCTGGGATGGAGGATTCCCGCAACTCGAAGTCTGGTGGGATCGGAATGTCTTCAGGAATGTAGACAGGAGCCTCGTAGGGCGAGCCCTCCTTAGGGGTGAAGTCCTCGCTGGTGGGGAAGGGGGACGGCGGCCCCATAGGGATGGGGGACAAGATGCTGTCCTCGGTCTCCTCCTCAGCACTCTGGCCGGCCAGCAGGTCCGGGTCGGCTTCATACATATTATTTACAACGTCACCGTCACCTAGAGAGATAATGTAGCATCAGCCTCTGTAGCAAGGGACTCCCCGGGGATGTGGCCCTCATGGAACCCAAAGGCACCACAGGCCCAGCAGAATTCCGGCTGCTACCCCTTGCCTGGCAGATGCCACCTCTGCACCATCCCGAGCCTGGCGGCGGGCAACACAGTGCCAGCGGCTTCCAGGGAGGACACCCCACCAGGCTGTAGAGGCAGCACAGCCGAGCTGTCCCTCGTTTGTTCACTGTTTCCAAATACATTAGAGGCGGGCAACTTCATCTCTGCAGCCACCTGAGGATATGTGCTGCCCGGCTCTATTGTGGAGAAGCAGAAACGGGAGACGAGGCTGTCACGGGGAAGGTGAAACATTTGCTGTGGGATGATTCCAGGGCTTGTCTGAGGCCTCAGACATCAGGGAGCTGGGATGCTTTGAAGAGAATTCAGAATCTGAGTTCACGTGAGATTTGCTAAAAACATGCTACCCCAGCATGAAGCTACTCCAGACATCACACTGGGATAGCCAGTGTCCTGTATGGGGTTTCTGCAAGTTCCTGGTGACCTCAAGGCAGATCAGGAATAGTTGTAGCCATGGACACGGTATGTGAGCTGCAGGCCACAGGACTGAGCAAAAGGAAGAGGATCCACAGGTTACCTGTGGGGGATGGGTTTCCATCAGAGCCAAAGGCTGACGTCAAGACGGAGCCACTTGGAATAGAAAAGGATCACCTTGGCACACCAAGGCTGCCACGGCACTGGATAGAGATCTGAGAGGGCAAGGAGGAGGCCAGGCAGAAAAGAGAAAGGACAATCCCGTTCTGATGTGTAACCCGCACAGCACCGCAAACAGGGCTTTCAACCAACAAGGACTCCAGCAGCTAGAAGGCCAGACCAGCTCAAGTCAAGCCCCCAGCAGCACAGACAAGCAAACGATGAGACTGTGCTCTGTCCACACCACGGTCTATCCGCCAGAAGAATGCAGCTCACCTTGTTGCAATGCAGACAGACCTCAGAAGCATACAGACTACCCAGAAAGCTTGGGGAAGGGGGTGGTTGTCTTATAGTTATTTGAAACACCCAGCATATTACCACTAACCATGCCATTTTGCTGTGCCCAGGAATACGACATTCATCTTTCCTATCTGTCTAGCTTCTTCCCTTCCCCTCCCCCTCCCACATGGAGGTATCACTCCTGGCCGCCCTGACTTGACTATTCCCCAAGGCCAACAACGTGTGCACACTGCAAACATCACACCGGAGCCTACAAATCCCTACCCATTCCCCCAATGTGAGACTGCACGATTCCCATAAAGGGTCACTCGTTTTCCGGTTGTGCACACGGGTAGAAACTCTACAGTGTCTTATCAATACAAATGATCGTTATTTATTCACTAAGACTTAAAAAAATCGCATTATGTGAAATGGAAGGCAAATGCCATGCTTCTATCTGTAAAGGTTGGGAGGGGCTGGGGAGTGACTGTTAATGGGTGCTGATTCTCTGGCCGGTGGTGAGAATGTTCCAGAGTTACAGATATAGGTTGGTTGCACAACACGGGGAAGCGTGCTTACGTGCCACTGGATTGCACGCTTCCGCATGGTTACCTCTTCCTGTTCTGCGAATTTGACCTCAGCCAACGAGGGAAGCCAGAGGTGTGGTGGAAATAGGTGGGTAAGGGCCCTCACTCAAGTGTGCTGACCCCCGGCCCAGATCTCCCAAGTCAGGTCCATCCCGCCGCTGGTCCGTTGGCCTGTGGAAGTCACCCAGGAGCCACGTCCCACGCCCCTCCCTGCTCTTTGACGTTGGCTGGCGAAATAGAAGCCTCCAGGGAGACAAGAACTTTCAAGTACAAGGAAAAAAAAAAACGATTTCAGATTCCCCACGCTGGCTGCAAACAAACCGGCTGGGGAAGTAACAAAATGTTTTCTTTCAAAAGGAACCAAAGTCTCGGGTGGAAAAAAAAATCAAGCCGATAACACTTATTTAATTTAGCAGCATTCACAGAAGTAATGACTATGTTTTAAGTGGCCAACGGTTCCTTTTTAATTGGCTGGTGGGATCCTTTCAGAGCCTCAGCGACATGAAGGCGGCAGAGCTCCCTCCACCCCAAGGCCCCGGCGTTGTTTAGGTTTGAAAGAACACCCCCGTAAACCTTCCTGTTGCCTGTGTGCGGCAGAAAGGTAAATTAGAAGGGGGGGTAATTAACAAGCCACCTTATTATTCAGAACTGGTAACTGCACAGAGCTCACAAACAAAATCATGCTGGAAGCCCGTGTTCCCCGCGAAGTGCTCCTTAACTCCTTCGGGGGCGCTGATGCCATTGCCTCCCCCAGAGCGGCTAGGACGCAGATCAGAGCAGCACCTCGGATGCTCTGAGGGGGTCCAAGTCGGGAAATGTCCCCATCCAGTGTGGAGTCACCTCAGGACGACTTCCTTTCTTCTTTCAGTTTGAATTCTACCCCTCGTAACTTTAATAAAGGCTGACTCAACTGGAGGCCCAGCGAACAGCTGGAGAAAGGACAGTGTTTCCTGCCGACTAGAGGCAGGCCTGTGCCCAGGTGGTCACCAAGGTTAAGAGACAGCTTCCTCTCTTTGCATTCAGCTGTCCTCCCCCGCAATGGGGGAGAGAGAGAGAGAGAGAGAGAGAGAGAGAGAGAGAGAGAGAGAGAGAGAGAGAGAGAGAGAGAGAGAGAGAGAGAGAGAGCAGAGCACTCTTCATTCACAGATGGGCATGGAGGAGACAGGAGGCCTAATGAGCGAGCGTGTGCAGAACGCATTTTGAGAGAGGATTCAGGAAGGGCTCTGAAGAGGAAGCAATTGCCTGCTCTGAGTGTTGGAATCCTGGGAGAGCTGGGCATGAGTCTCTCTGTTTTTGGTGGGGGTGAGGAGTCTTATGTTAAGCGGGGCTCCGGGCCAGATGTCCTCCAGAGATGGAAGCCCCCTCTGCCCAAAGTGGACAGGCATGTTCCCAGAGTAGGTACCTTTCACCCAGACCTGGTTTGGGTCACAGGAACACACCGGTGCATTTTCCAGGCCGTGTTCTCTTCCAGGTGGAAGAGTAGTGCCAAGGTCATGGGTACTTTGTGACTGTGTCTGGGAGATTGGATGTCACTGATTGGTCAGGAGGCCTACTTTTTTTTTTAAATCTGGACCTTTTGCAATGGCTTCATGCTGAAGATTCTTGGCTGGGGCTGTCATTCATAAAATCTGAAACGCCTACCAAAATGATAGTAACGGGGAGGAGAGGGTACGTGAAGCAGCAGGAAGGGAGGATCAGCATGAACCCGGCTGGCCCTCGAGTCAAATGGCCCTGAGTCATAGCCAAGTCTGTTTTTAATGCTAGGAACACCTGCTCGGTGCACCCAGGGCCTAGCTGAGCCTATTCCTGGTGAACTCGACACCAAGTCCCTCTGAACATCGTGTCAGCCAATGCTCAAGTGACCATCATGACCCTGTGGCATGGAATAGACCTCACCTTCTCCCCAGAATGAGGGGAGCATGGGCTGAGAGCCCACCACGACACTGTCTTTCACCCTGCTCTGGTTTCCACACAACCTGGTTTTTAGAGTTGGGTCTCTTCTGACCTTATACCAAAGGGCTTTCTGACCCTGTCACCTAGGACACAAATCACCTGGTATCTCTTCAGAGACTTCACTGAAGAGCAAACATGGATGGGATACTGATGTCTAGGAAGGAGATAGGAGGGAGAGGGAGGGAGGGGGAGGGAGGGAGAGAGAGAACACAAATGTGTGAGCATGTAAGAGCGCTATGTGAGCATGTGTCTAGGGGAGCAGAGACAATGGTGCGGAACCCTGAAAACAGGCCCTTGGGGCCAGCGCAGATCCACCCTCCACAAGTCCACTGCCCTCTGCCTAGAGGGTTCTGGGGAAAAAGAAAAGACGGCAGGATTCCAGAAGCCCCCAACCACTTGCCTAGCAAGCACTAGATGGAGGCCCTGAGTAGTCTCCTGATGGGGCCTGGACATCACTGTGGTTGATCTTCACTGCTGGGGGTGGGATCTCCCCTAACAGCAACCACAGACCTTATCTGGCACCTCTCTGTCTCCTCAACTCATTTTCCTCTCAGGGCACCTCCAGCTGCCTATGGGAATATTCTAACTTCATTCTGTACCCCCCAAAGCACCACATAGCCCACTCTGCCCCACAGGCATATGCCCATGTCAGCTGTTCCCAGAAAGGAAGGCACCAGGCTGACACCTCCAACTCTACCCTCAAGAGCAAAGAAGTCAAGCCAAGTGTCCGCTCAGCTCAGCAACTTCGATGCAGTTCTCTCCTGGAAATGGAGGAGGCAGAGAGGGGGATCGGGACAGCAGGGCAGGGCCTTCTGAAGAGGATGCAACTTAAGATCTGGGGTATCCAGACAGGTCCCGGGGTACAATACTCACCAGGCGGTACAAGGTGTCTGATGATCTGCACCTTGACTCTGGTGGAAACACAGGCTCACCGTGGGACACAGACCAGTGTGCACAGCGCATGCTAAGAACAGATCCCCCGGGTCATCTGAAGAAGGCGGGTGTGGCCTACATCAATAACCCACCCTCAAGGAATGGGATTACAGCACAGAGCCTGGCACAACTCTGCAGCTGGTGCAGCTGTGCAACGGTCTCACCGACCCGTGTCCTGGGGTCCCTGTGTTGTTCTTTATAACTGTGTATGAATCTGTAGTTTTCTTTTTCAGTTAACCTTTCAGTGGAAAAGGAACTTTCTTTCCAAAGCAAGATCCTTGTGTGCGGGGGTTTTGCACCCTCGGCTTCTGCTGGCTCTACTGAGCAGATAGCTCTCCTGCCCAATCTGGGGGTTCCTCACCCTACCCGGGAACAAGCAGAATGACAAACTAGCACTGGGGAGGAACAAGATGGGTGACAGGCGCCTGCCAAACCTGGAAACCACCGCCTAAGCAGGTCCTTGAAAATTTAGATTTGAGAAAAACTCAAGGCCAAGTTACAACTCGCGGCGAGTTACAAAGGTAAGAACTCTCCATGCCACCACAC